CTCTCACTATTGTCTCTCAATTGGATGATACCAGTAGCCTTGATTTCTGCCCCTCCCCCACCCTTATCCTGTGGGTCTGCAGCCCAGACTGTCTGGGTTCTTATCCCTGAGGCTCCTTCTGTTCTTCCCCATCATTTTTATTATTATTTATTTTGAGAGATTGAGATTGAGAGAGACAGAGATTGAGAGAGAGAGAGAATTCCAAGCAGGATCCACTCTGTAGTGCAGAGCATGACATGGGACTCGATCCCACAAGCTCTTGAGATCAAGACCTGAGCCAAAGTCAGATGCTTAAGCAACTGAGCCAGCCAGGCGCCCCAGTCCCTCCCCATCTTGCCCCTTCCTCCCCTCCACTCGTTCCCTGCCACCCCCCTCCCATTGATGTTGCTGCATGTCTCTTCTGTGCTATACACTGAGTGGCCATAGGGGAGCCATGGGTGACGGCTTTGTGGTCTCTGCCTTTAAGGGGCTGGTGTCCTTCTTTGCTTTCTCTGTGTACTAACTTCTAACTCGCTGATTAGCAGATTAGTTTTCTGCTTTGGTACCTGTGTCCTCTTGTTCAGAGGCTGACCCCAGCTAGAAACACCAGCCAGGGGCTCAAATCAAGATCTGCCTTTCAGAGTCAGGAGCTGGATCTGTGGGGTAGGGAATAGTCCGGACGGCCAAGAGCAGGAGGGAATAAGTGATGAGGGATGTGAACTTAGGCCCTAGGAAGCACAGAAGGTCAAACTTGGAAAGTCTGGCTGGATCATCAAGTCCAGAAATCAGGTGAGCCCATATGCGGGACACTCGTATGCTCTGTTCAGTTGTGCAGGTTGTGAACTGCACAAGGGGACACCTACCATGGGGGATAAGTAGAGATGAAATTAGCCTGTGTTCTTCTCACCATGAGTGCTTGTTTAGGGCTGTGTCTGCCTGGAGAGGGGGCATTTTTACTTCCTGATTCATACAACGGTGCCACATGGACTAGCTGGAATCCTGGCTATCAGCCCTGCTTTTTGCCCTTGCACTTGAACGCCAGTTCCTTGGAGAGGCTCCCGCAACCCTATCTGGAGTAGGCCTCCCCTGCTATTCTGGTGTTTGCATCCCTCTCTGGCCTTCATAGCTTTTGTCAAATTTGTAAGCATGCATTTAGGTGCTGACTCATTTATAACTGGACTCCCCACCAGGCTGCAAGCCCCCAGTCTCACCGTGAAACAAGGCTCTAGAGCAAAGAGAAGCAGGCACAGACCCAATGGGACCAGTGCAGAAGCAGGGCAGGGGAACAATATGTTTTGGGAGAGTCAGAGAGGCTTCCAAGAAGGGGGAGCACTGAGGCTAGGACTCGGGGTGGGGAGGGCGGTGACATGGGAGGCGGGATGGGGAGAAGGGCATTCTCGAGCCAGCTGCAGTGAGAGGTGCGTCTCGGGTGCTGTGCTAAGCCATTTAATGCCTTCAACCACTCTGCAATGTAATCATTATTCTTCCCACTTTACAGGTGAGGAGACTGAGGCTCAGACAGGCAGACTGGTATGGCTGAGGTCACAAGTGACAAAGTCGTGAAGACTTTGGAGGTTTTAGGAAAGGATGTCAATATGAAAGGGGGATCCTTGTGTTAGTTCAAAGGGGGCTCCCACATGGACTGTGGGGGCTTCAACTGAAGAAATTAATTTTCTCATCGTTCTGGAGGCTAGGAATCTGAGATCAACGTGTTGGTGGGGAGACATCGGTACCTGCTGAGGCCTCTCTCGTGGCTTAGAGATGGGCGTCTTTGCCCTTTGTCTTCTTTATTTTTATAATTTTTTTTACACTTATGTGTTATTGAGAGACAGAGAGAGAGAGCATGAATGGGGGAGGGATAGAGAAAGGAGACATAGAATCTGAAGCAGGCTCCAGGCTCCGAGCTGTCAGCACAGAGCCCGACATGGGGCTGGAACTCATGACCAGTGAGATCATGACCTGAGCTGAAGTCGGATGCTTAACCGACTGAGCCACCCAGGTGCCCCGCCCTATGTCTTCCTTCTGTGTGTCCGAGTCCTAATCTCATCTTTTAAAAAATTTTTAAAGGTTATTTATCTTGAGAGAGAGAGAGAATGGCACAAGCAGTGGAGGGGCAGAGAGAAGGAGAGACAGAATCCCAAGCAGGCTCCAGGCCATCAGTGCAGAACCCGATGTGGGGCCCTAACTCACGAACTGCGAGAGATCATGACCTGAGCCGAGATCGAGTCGGATGCTTCCCTGACTGTGCCATCCAGGCACCCCTCCCCCATCTCTTCTCCTAAGGACATCAGTCCCACTGGGTTAGCACCCACCCATATGACCTTGCTTAACCTTAATTATCTCTTTGAAGAGCCCATCTCCATATAGAGTCTCACTCTGACAGACTGTGGGTTAGGTTAGAATTCAAGATGAATTTGGAGGGGGGCCATTTCCGCCATCAGGAACCCTCTAGAGGCTGTCTGGATCAGAGTGGGTAGGGAGGGAGTAAGGTGACCTTACTTACAAGGAGCCGCAGCAGAGCCTGGTGACGGATGGGAGGGGACTCGGGGGTAGGAGGGTCCCAGCCCCTGTCTCGCCTCCTACTGCCTGCAGCTTCTCATCTTAGAGATGAATTAGGACACGGGTCTCAGGGAGAAAGTCCTCGATCTCTAGACGGCCAGGCACAGACGCTCTCAAGAGGCATCCCCTCTCCCTGCCTTGTCCCCATATGAGTCTGGAACATCCTTTCCTCAAAGGGGACTAATTGATAATCTAGGGTGATAAAATGTTTTCACTGTCATCCCATTGAAATGCAACAGCAATGCCGGGTCCTATAAATCACCCGGAGCTTAAAGAGGAGAGTGAAATGAGCATTGCCTTATAAACCACAAAGCCCATTAATCACATGACTACAAACCATAAATATGACAAGTACATCCATCAATCCTGCACCTTTCTTTCTGGTCTGGGAATGCACGCATTAGCAACTTAATGGATTTAGAAGGCACTTTCTCCAATAGACTCAGAAGTAGAGAGTACTTTATGATTAGCCTTGTGGGCCCCAAGGAAGGAAAAACGAGTCACCTTTCTCCACTCTGCTCGGGCATTTTGGGGCGGCGGGGGGTGGTGGTGGCCAGGCGGTGGCCGGAGCTACTGATTCTGCCTGTCCTTCCGGAAATGCAGGAACCTGGAACCCGGCGTCTAGTGGGAAGGAATGGCCATGACCTGCCCGCTCCCTGCCCTCCACCCTCTTCCTCCACAGGTGCGGCTCCTTGACCAGAAGTTTTGGGTCTGCCCTAGGCTTCCGGGCCAGTCTTTCCCTGGGACTGGAGAACTCTAAGTAGCATGAGTTTCTAACACTGGAGCCCCGTCCCTGTTCCATTCCTGCTCTTAGAGCTCTTCTGATTTTGTATCTCGATGGGCTTCTGGGTATTCTCTGAGACTGTGTCTCCACCTTATACTGGGTTTTCTGTTCAGGTGTCCATTTGTCATTGACTCATTTATTGTGTAACCACGTCCCAGCATTCCTGGGCACGCGGCTCACCGTCTGCCTGGCTCTGGGCGCAACCAAGGCAGATAGATGCAGCTCCTGCCCATTAGGGCTGATGATCAAGGCGAAGATACACCCAGAGTGTGGAAACACAGAGACAGAGAAGTCCCGAGAGGACCAGAGCCCCGGTTCTCTGCCGGTCATGAGAGTCCTTATTTCTTGTTATACTCACCCTGACCTCCAGGTCTTTCAGGATTTATGAATTTCAGCCCTTGGCTGGGCCAGCTGCCTGCAGACCTTTCTGATGAGGTGGCCTTTCGCCAGTGCCTGATGATGAGAGGCAGGGTCTTGGGTAACCAGGACCAGAGGGTTTGGAGCTACATGAGTCTGAGTCTGGACCCCGGCTGTGTGACCCCAGCACGCCGCTTCACTGTAATTTCCTTTGCTGTGCCTGGGGGAGTCTCTGTCCCTTGGGGATGTCCAAGCTGGTCTGTCTGAGGTGTGGTAAGTGCTAACACTCAGCCCCTCACCCGGTTAAGTTCAGGTGCCTTGAGGGGCTCAGCTAGGATAGAGGCTGGACCTGAGGAAGCCCAGACCTCTGGGGTAGTAGTTCTCAATCAGGAGTGGACTTGCTGCCCAGGGGACCCTCGGCCAGGTCTGGAAGCGATTTTGATTGTCACCAATGGGGACATCTAGTGGGTAAACGCCAGGGATACTGCTGCCCATCCTACAATGTGCAGGGACAGCCCTCCCACCCTGATAAAGACATATGTGACCTAAAAGGTCAGTGGTGCTGCCCCTGAGAAATCTGCTCTGGGAGAAGCGTGGCCGCTGGCGGAGCCGCAGGGCCGGTGCCGGGCTGACCAGGGCGTGAGCGCAGGAGATCTACGGTACAGGATGTCTCTCTGAAGTAAGCTCCAGGGATGCCCGCGTTCCTGCCTCGGGGTGGGGATCCTCCCCTGGGGTTCCACCCCACCCCCTGTGACCCCCATCCCTCTCCAAACCGAGCACCTGCCTCATCAGAAGCGTCAGGCCGGGTCCCTGACTTCGAGGAGCGCAGGGTCTGGAGAGGGAGAGTGGCAGAGGAGCAGATACGATGAGGTGGGCAGGGGAGCACTGGCAGTTGGCACGGGGCCTCCTCTACAGGAGTGGGGGAGGGGTCCTTATTTGGGAAAGTGCCCTGGTTAGGCCAGGGAGCAGGGGGTGGGGCTGACTCCCCTCACCACTCCATTGCAGGACCCCAGGACCCGGTGCACAGGGTCCAGCCGCACAGCCTGATTCGGAAGCCCCGCTGGGAGTTCTCATGCTGCACACAGTAATCATCTGATGAGATGGGCACTGCCCACACCAATTACCCAGAATCTCGGGGACTTCTGCATTTGTTGAAAGCTCCCTGGGGGGTCTAATGGGCAGCCAGTTGAGAAGCACAGGGCCTTGCCTAGCCAGCTCCTGCGACAGCCCCCCATTGTCCTCTGTGATACCCCCCCCCCGAGAGTGTCACTCAGTAGGTCGATGGGTCCCACCTGCTCAAGGCGAGCCTGAGTGTTAATAGGTGCAGGTTATCAGATGAGAGACGGGGCCTCCCCAGTGGAAAGGAGAGGGGTGGGACTGAGTTTCCTGCTGAGTGGAGCTCCAGACAATGGAAGATGGAAATCAGGGGCTAGAAAAATGGAGGGAAGCTGGTGAGGACAAGTGTCAGGGGGTTCCCCACAGGGGCTGTGTTTGCCTTGCTACAGCAGGAATCCCGTCCATCTTCAGTAACGAGTCTGCGAGTGCGGTTGCACACCTGTGTGTGTGTGTGTGTAAAAATGGAAGAAGGGGAAAATCTTGCATCCTGGCCAGTGCAGGGCAGAGCAGGGCACTCACAAAGAAACAGGAAGTCAGGAGACAGGAGGCCATAACACCCTTAGCTCAGAAATAAGGGTGGGGTCCCTGTGGCTATCTTGCCTAGATTTCAATTGCTGTCAAGCTGGGCTCTCAGGAATTAACACAATAAAAAGCAACGTCTCTTTCAAGTACGGTGCCCTGTGGCTGCTCCTACTCCCAGGGGTGATTTGGGTTCTGGTTCCATCCACAGGGAGCCCCACACACAGCCCCCGAGGAGGAGAGGGGCAGAGGGAGAGCCAGAGGAGGAGATACCCCTGCCCTTAACTGCCTTGTCCTGGAAGGGGTCCCTCATTTCTGCTCGCATTCCATTGGTGACAAGAAGGCACATGGTCCCACCAAGGCAGGAGCTGAGCTATGGACCCAGGAACTGACAGCCTGCCTGTCTGACCAACCTCAGACACAGACTGGGTGTCATGCAGTAGGAGAGGTGTGCATAGGTATGGTGGGGGGACATGGGAGATAAGCTTAGTTCTGTCTGGGCAGGTCTGGGAGGGCTCCCTGGAGGAGGTGCTATTGAAGCTAGTCGGCCGTAAAAACTACAGATGAAGACCAAGAGAACTAGGTACTATGATTGATGTGCTCTAGCCTTCCTTGCCTTCAGATAACGCCCTTCCTGTATCTCTCCCGACCTGTATTTGTTAAGGGAGAGGATGGAGTATACAGCAGCGACCTGGAGGTGGATGGGAAGGCATGGAGATAAACCTCTTCTTCCTGATGGTGCTGAGGCTGGCCTCGAGGCAAGGGCAGAAGGAGGCTGAATGGCCTTGATGGGCTTCAGTCTCTGCCCGCTACTTTTCAGGAAAGTTCCTTGGAAAGGGAGTGCTTCCTGCAGACAGACCGGGAGGCAGATATGAGCTGGTAGGCAGCCAGTCTCAGGCTGGGCTCCCCAGTGGCCCAGCCTCCCAGCCCCCAGGCTCTCAGTGTGGTCTGAATGGCTTCCACCTCCCCAGACCTGGGAGTCCTCTTATCTCCAGAAAATACCAGTGCGTCAGGGATTTAGAAGAGAAACATGCTCCTTCTTGACCAAGAAACAGATGCCTCATCCCGTTCTCTGTAGGGTGAGTTTCGACTCCTTAACCCAACATTCAATGCCCCTCCTTCCTTGCCCAGCTTGAGTTCCGAACACTTCAGCTCTGCCCGAGCTCTGGTCACCCTGAACAACTTGCCCTTCCTTAAATACACGAAGAAACTTTCCGTGTGTTTGCTCATGCTGCTCCTCAACCTGGAGGGACAGTCACAACCCTAAGAGTCCCTCTCAGTGAAGACACTACCAGTCCCCAGGCACGCTTGGTCTTGTTCTCTCTCGAGCCTCCCCGAACCGTCCATCACTATTGTTTTTATTACTGACCCGTGTCTTCTACCGGCCTGGGAGCTTCAAGAGGGTGAACACTGGGGTCTTGGACCAAACAGAAGGGAGGAACTGATGTTTGGCAGGTGATCATTAAATATTACCTCGTGCACCCCTGATTTCATTGTTCCCTCCATGTGCTTTCAGCCTGGCATCTCCATGCCTTTGCACAGTATTTCCTTTCTACTGCTACTGCAACAAATGATCACTGAGCCTGGTGGCTAGAAACAACATAAATTTATGTTACCTTTTCTGTAGTGAGTCTGAAACATGTTCCACTGAGCTGAAATCCTTGCATTGCTAGCTCAGCTGCTTTTCTTTCTGGAGGCGCTGGGGAGGAATCCATTTCTTTTACCTCCGCCAGCTGTCGCGGTCCCTGGCTTCCACGCTCCATCTTTAAAAGCCGCAGTGAACACCTCTCTGACCGTTCTGGTGTAGTTGCCTCTTCCCCCGAGCTCAGTCAGGAAAGATTCTCTGATTTTAAGGATCCAGATTGGGCTCCCTTGGATAATTGAGGCAACTCTTTCCATCTCAAGGTCCTTAACCTTTTTCACATCTTCAGAGTTTCTTTATTCCATGTAAGGGAACATATATAGTCACAGGTCCTGGGGATTAGGACATGGACATCTTTGGAGGGGGGCGTTATTTTTCCCACCATACACGCGTACTTCCCTCTACCTGGAATTTCCTATCTTCTCTTTGTCTACCTGGCTAACTTCTACAGATCTTTCAAGACTCATTGGAACATTCTTCCCCCCGCCCCTCCTAGAAACTTTCCTGGCTCTCCTTGGGTGCTGGGAGTTAGTTACTCCCTGCTCTTGTTTTTATTGGGCCACCTGTATTCTACCGTAATTATTGGTGTATATTTCCCCTAGCCTCCCCTGACCGTGAATCAGATGTTTGGGACTGGGGCCTCTGACTTTGTTATCTCTGTATCCTTAAAACCTTGAGGCATTAGGGGCACCTGGGTGGCTCAGTTGGTTGAGTGTCCGACTTCAGCTCAGGTCATGATCTCACGGTTCATGGGTCTGGGCCCTGCATCAGGCTCTGTGCTGACAGCTTGGAGCCTGGAGCCTGCTTCCGATTTTGTGTCTCCTTCTCTCTCTGCCTCTCCCCTGTTCGTGCTCTGTCTCTCTCTCTCTCTCTCTCAATAGTAAATAAAATGTAAAAAAAAAAACCCATTAAGACATTAAAGTGCTCTGTGTTTGTGGAATAAACGACTAGTAGTATTTTAAATGCAGTTTTGTTCAAAGAGAGTGGAACTCAAGACTTATATAATTTAAAAGAAAATCTGATTTCAGCCTAATCTTTCCTATAGCATCCCACGGTTTTTCAAAAGGCCTTTTATAGCTTTAGCGTGTTTTTCTTGATTAAACTCTCACTGTTCTGTTATATGCCCATGTTTATGTATTCCAAAATTACATATTTGTACCTGTGGGTATTATTATGTATTCAGTTTTTTGTCTTGTATCTTCATTTAACGTTATATTGTAAGCAATTCTTCATGCCGTTAAACATTTTTGGAAAATATGACTTCTCTTGTGTGGTTGTATTTCATTTTATGAATGTACCATTATAGGTTCATCGTATGTACATTAAATGAGAGTGTACTTAGTCATTTCCTAGTTGTTCAATGTCTGGGTAGTTTCCTGTTCCTCTCTATTATAATTAATCCTGTGATGACTATTCCTCTATGTGAATCTTTGGTCATATTTTTAATTATTTTCTTGGGTTAAATTTCTAGTGATAGAATTATTTGGCCAAAGGATATGAACTTTTAATGGCTATTGTTATGTGTCTTAAAGAATTTTGGGCAGATTTACACCTGTTAGAGAATACATCCTTTCAACTTTTGACATGTTCTAGTGAACATTTAAAAAAATGTTTATTTTTAAGAGACAGAGAGAGAGAGAGAGAAAGAAAGAGAGAGGCATACACACAGTGGGGGAGGGGCTGAGAGAGAGGGAGGCAGAGAATCCCAAGCAGGCTCCACGATGTCAATACAGAGCCTGACATGGGGCTCAATCCCACAACTGTGAGATCATGATCTGAGGCGAAATTGAGAGTTGGACGCTTAACTGATGAAGCCACCCGGATGCCCCTAACGAACATTTCTTAATATGAAACTCCAGTGCTTATTTCTTTTTTAAAAATTTTTAAAGTTTATTTATTTTGTGAGTGACGAGAGAGAGAGTGCAAGCAGGGGAAGGGCAGAGAGAGAGGGGGACAAAGGATCTGAAGTAGGCTCTGCACCGACCGCAGAGTCTGATGTGGGGCTTGAACTCACGAACTGTGAGATCGTGACCTGAGCTGAAGTCAGCTGCTTAACAGGTATCTCACCACTGCTTATTTCACTGGTAAAAAATTATCTATTTGTTAATTTAATGTATGTTAGTGAGGGTTTGTATTTTTGTCTTTGAACCATTTTTTTTCCCTTTTATGAACTGCCTACTGTTTGCCCACCTCTTCACTAGGGGTTAATGTTTTTTCTTCTTATCTATTTATATGGCATCTCAAATATAACAATATCAATCCCTGTTCTGTCATGTTTCTGGCAAACATTTGCTCTTACTTTGTTTTCCAAAAGTTTCTTTTCAAACAGGGGCTGGGAGCTAAGTTCATTCAGCACACCTCCCCCCACCCCAGTCCCTTTGGGAATGACATTGACCTACATCCTTCTACAGTGAAGGGAGCCCCCGCCTCCAGCCCCTGGATTCTGAATCTTTCAAATCTTTTTGTCTTCAAAGGGAGCTGAACTTTAAGCGTCTTTCTTAGGTCCTCTGGGAGCAAAACCACTTTGCAGGCTTGAAATCATTCATTTCCCCAATCTCTTTTCTCTCCACCATTCCTCACAAATAATCCCTGGCAATTATTAAGTATGTCTTGTGTTGCTTTATACTTTTGAGTGCTTAATGATCCTTTACTGGTTCATCAGAGAAAGCAGAATCTTTTGCTTCTTCTCCTGCCTCCTCTAGAAATTCTGCACAGTAAGAATCTTTCTACCAGAATGTGAACTTTTAGAAGGGAGAAGGCTACTGGACCCTGTCCCTCACTGCTCCAGATCCAGTTGTTTCTTTCTTTCTTTTTTTTAATGTTTTATTTATTTCTAGGAGAGAGAGAGAGAGACAGCGTGAGCAGGGGAGGGTCAGAGAGAGAGGGAGTCACAGACTGAAACAGGCTCCAGGCTCTGGGCTGGCAGTCAGCACAGAGCCCGACATGGGGCTCGAACCCACGAACCGCGAGACCGTGACCTAAGCGAAAGTCGGACGCTTAACCGACTAAGCCACCCAGGCGCCCCCAGATCCAGTTGTTTCAAGATGGGGTGGGTACACTTTGAATGTGGGAGGGATGAAAACACATGGTGACCAGAGTGGACTGCTGTCTCTTTTTTTAATTTTTTAAGTTTGTTTGTTTGTTTGTTGAGAGAGAGAGAGAGCACTAGCAGGAGAGGGACAGAGAGAGGGAGACAGAGAATTCCAAGCAGGCTCTGCACTACTAGGGCAGGGCTCGAACTCACAAACCGTGAGATCCTTCCCTGAACTGAAATCAAGAGTTGGACACTTCACTGACTGAGCCACCCAGGTGCCCCTGATGTCTTTAAAATATGTGTGTTCACAAGTCTTTGGTGTTTTTCCCCTCAAAATGTGGAGTGCAGTCCCCTCCCCTTTAGTGTGGGCTGTGTTCATGGCTTGCTTTTAGTGGATTGACTGTAGCATGTTGACATGTGACTTCTGAATCCAGGTCATAAAAGGCACTGTGGCTGCCACCTTGCTCTCTGGGAAGGTAGCCTTCATGTTGTGGGGAAACTCAAGCAACCTTGTAGAGAGGTTCACACAGCGAGCAACTGGGGTCTCCTGCCAACAGCCATGTGAGGCAGCCATTGTGGAAACAGACCCTCCAGCCCCAGTCAAGCCTTCAGAGGAGTGAGCTTTGGCCGACATCTTAACTGTGGTATTATGAGAGACTGTGAGCCAGCACCACACAACCAAGCTCCTTCCACACTGTTGCAACCATGAGATAATAAATGTACATTGTTTGAAGCTATTAGGTTTGGGAGCAATTTGTTATGCAGCAAGAGGTAACTGATACATGGGGGTATCGGACAACTGAACACCGAAATGTGAGTAAAAGGACTTCACAGACGTCAGGAGGAGTTTCTTGCCTCAGGCCTCTGGGATTTTCCAGCTTTCCTTCTACCAACTTGAGCTAGATTGTTTACAAGAAACTGGCAGGAATTATCCTCCTCCCTGGATCCCTAGCTCTTAGCAATGTGACTTTGATGACCCTCTCATCAAAATAAGGAGTCTGTTCTTCCTGCCCTTAAATCCAGGTGATTGCAGCGGGACCCACTGTGTGTTGGTGCCGGGCTGCACCCCTGGCCTGCGTCTGCTTTTTCTCTTGGAACCCCTGCCACTGTGATGTGAACTGGCCCAGGCCTGTCTGCTGAAGGATAAGCAGGTGACAGTAAGGGAATGCTGAAGCCAGAGGTCTCTAAGTTCAAATCCCGGTTCTGCTTAGTGTTCCTGTTGTCCCAGCTGACATTCAGCTAACCCTCAGGACCTGAGCCTCCTCGCTGACCTGCAGCTGACAGCAGAGAACACGACAAAGCCCAGCTGAGATCAGAACGGCCACCTAGCTGGGCTCAGCCTGAATGGTCAACCCATAGAATCACGAGCTAAATACATGTGTTAAGTCACTAAGTTTTGGACTGGTTTGTTCTGCAGCAATAGCTAACTGATACACGCCACTATGCCCCAAGGCAAGCATGTGTATTTTATTTATGCTAATAAATATATAAAGAGTGCAATTCCCCCCTCCTCGAACCTTCCTCCCCAACCCAATTGCACTCCCATAGCTTTGTGTGTCTTTATCTATCTATCCATCCATCCATCCATCCATCCATCCATCCTTCTGTGTAAAATTGGCCGCTTCACTGAAAGGACATTAGCTACCGGGGTTCTGTTCAGTTCCACTCAGGTTAGTGAGTACAAGGACCACATCCCACCCGAGCAGTCCAGGCCATCCATGCCCCTGGCTCAGGAGCGAAGGCAGTCAGTACCTAAGCAGCTCTTCTGCTCCACAGTCCTGGGGCAGAGTTCCTCCTCTGCTCCATCTGGAGGACTCTGCCTTCCTCTCCTGTCTAAGCTGCTCTCTCCACTCTCTGCTCCCCTCCCCCCATGCTCTCCCCACTGTCATCCATCCTCCCCTCAGGCTTGTCTCGGGCTCGGCAATGATGCCAACACGCACTTAAGTCTTTAGAGATTTTTGTCTTTGCTCCTTCCTAGAGTCAGGCAGAAAGTGGCGGCGGGGGTGGGGGTGGGGGGCGGAGAAGATACAGATTAATATTTTGAGGTATTTTGAGATCTAATGGAGCCACATGATGTATATACATCTGCAAATGTTTCTCTCTCTCTGCCTCGTAAACTCCTATTCATCCATCAAGACCCAACTTAAATATCACCTCCTCAGGGAAGCCATGAGCAAGGATAGCATACATTCCGCAGAGTGAGCCCTGTTGGCTGGGAGTCTGTCCTTTAGATCTTTGTCTGTGAGCATAAAGGCACATATGCAAACACAAAATGAATGACAAAATAATTGCATGATACCTCACATGCTGGCCTGTGCCCTTTCAGCACGCATGGTTTGAAGGACTGCACAACACAACGATATTAAGTACTTAGCAGCGCTCTACAATCATTTCATAGCTTATTAGTCAGAGCAGCAGTAGCAGCCGTTTGCAGAATGGTTTGTTCATACATTGTGGGGCATTTTGCTTATTCAGCCTTTAGAAGGGGTGATAGGTGTGCATTCGCATCAGGGTATCCCCACCTCCGAGGGTCCAACACCCCCAGGCTGGCAATGGCTCCTGTTGCAGAAGGAGGAGGGGATAACTGTTCCTGCTTGCTGCTTTCCTGAGGAGGTGATATTTAAGTTGGGTCTTGAAGGATGAATAGGAGTTTACCAGGCAAAGAAAGAGGGCAAGATCATTTTGAATGGAGGGAACAGCATGTGCAAAGGTACAGAAGCATAAGGGGTCTGTGGGCAGGGGATCATGCTCACCATGATCACAGCTGGTATTTACCAAGTGCTTTACTGGGTGCTGGAGGCTTCTAGGGAGTGTTTTTATTTTGTCTTCACAGAAAGCCAAGGAGTAAGGCACTTTTATTATTTTAGATGCATTTTATAGATGAGGGATCAAGTATGTCCTTGAGAGAAATTAATCTACCCAAACAGGTCAAAGGCTGAACCAGGACTCAAACTTAGAGACCTTGGGCTTCAGAGTCCCCCTTGCTGGCTCTGCTGCTGCCACCGAGGTCACCTGAGACACATGACTCAAACACAGGGGTCGGAGTTCATTTCAGCATGCACTAAAAGCCAGTTGGGTTTGTCACAGGGACCATGTTTCTGGGGGCTCCTTCTGTGTGTTGGGAGATTCCTCCGACTCCAGGGCTCTCCCTTGGGACCAGGATGTATCTGCAGGTACAAACTTGTCCCCATTTAACTCACAGGCCCTCTGCCTTGGATTTCCTCTCCCGGGAGGGAATGATGTAGGGGAGGCTTCAGGAACCCAAGCCCACCCTGCAAACCAGTCTGAGCTGTGGTTACTGCCGGTGAGTGGGGGAGCACCCCCTCCCCTCCCACCCCGGGGAAGGCCAGGCCCCACCAGTCTTGCCTGAGGAAAACTCTGGGCTTTCCCCAAGCCCCAGGCCCACCCTCATGCCTGTGGCCTGAAAGCTGTGTGGTTAACTGTCAAAGACCAAAGGGAAGTCGGAGGTCACAAGGAAATGACATCGCAGGACAGGTGATGAGTTTTACCTGGTTTTACCTGTCCATACAGCCTACCCTCAGAACGCGGAGGGAGTTCAGAAGAAGGTCAGCCCAACCCTTCCCTGCACGAGGCCCAGCGGGAGATAGGTGGCTCACCTGAATGGGGCCATCCATCTGGGATGGTTTACTAAAGGGACTATTTACAAGCTGGAGGTGGAGCCAAGGAAACCAAGGGATGGTGAAGGTTCCTGAGCCTGGAAACATCTAGAGGCACCATCAGTCCTCACCGGATGTTGTAGGGGTGGGAGCTTTTAGGGAGCATGGGTTACCCCAAGCACAGGGCAGGGGGGTGGCTTGCCACCCTCACGGGCTAGCCCAGGGGCAGTTCTACCTGGTTTCTCTGAAACTGCGCTAGCTTTCCAGAGATATCAGTTTCACCCAGTGGAATTGGAGCCCCAAGGGTAGGTCCTGGCTCTGCTGCTTGCTGCGCTGTGACCTCAAGCAGTTACCTGGAGGGGAGTCTCAGGGTCCTCACTGCTACTACAATGGGGACAGGGACCACTACAAACATGGTTCGTGTGAAGATCACATGCGAGTCTGGTTTACGCATTTCTAACTCCTCTTCCTAATGGGTCTCTAAATATATTCTCACTTAACTCTCCCTCACCTGTGTGGAACATCCTTATTAAAATGCTCAGGGAGATGACTTGCTCATCGTCCCATCCCCAGCCAACAAGTGACAGGGACAAAGCCTTAACCACCGCCCAGGCCTTTCCCTGTGATAAGAGGCACCGACTTCCCAAAGAGCCTGAGACAGTAGATGGCGGCTTATGATGGTACTCCAGGATGGGGGTGAGATAACAATGCTAGAAGTGTACGAAGCACTTTCCTTAAAGTGACTTTGGTGCTTGGGATTATCATTCTCATGGATGGGGACACTGAGGTCCCAGAGAGGTCTTGTCTCAACGCTGCCCTTATGGCGACTTTAATTTTAGGAGATGGCTTTGCTACTTTGGGGAAAAATAAACCCTGCCCTGCACCCTGCATCTGCTCATGGGATTATTAGGTATGGCATATTTGGAGGTGGGAAAAATAGGACATTTTTCAGAAAAGAAAAAAAAAAACAACCCTAAAGCCAAACCCCAAACAACTACGTATTTCCACCAAGGAGAAAAAAATACTTGGAGTAAAAACAAAAACCAAAAAACTTACCTCTCAATTTCTCACCTTTTTTTTTTTTCCCCCGGAACGTTCTATCTTTGATGAGGAGTTAAAGCTTTAGAGCCTGCTGGCAACAGAGGGAGGCCGGGGAAGCCAGACACTGGCCAGATGGAATGGGCAAAGTGTCCTATCTGTCCCCTTAATAACTCCTAGGCCAGGGTGACCTGTCACCGTGAGCAAGGGGGAGGGAGAAAAATGAGCCAATTCGTTTCTAAATGGCCCTGTAACTCCAGGGTGTTATCGAGCAGAGACAAAGGACACCCCATAATTCTTGCGAAGGGAATCGGGTCCCCGGGAAGCAGGCACGGACTGTCCAGTCTGCTGAAGCCTCCAGCCACCCTGGGATCCGCGCCCCATAAATACACAGATATGGAAGTCCTGGCCGCATCGACTTCCCCCTTGCCGTTATTGATTGTGTTCTTAGATGAGTGGAGACTTTCCGACCAGAACTAAGCTACGTGGATCTTTCTTGAAAGTCTCTGTGCCGCCAGGAGTCGAGCCGAGAGAGGAAGTGGTGTCTTATTTTCCTTCTCAGAACGGTGCCTGGCGGCGGTGTGGGGAAAGAAGAGGCTGTCTGTCCCGGGGCTTCTCAGTCTTCCAGAGGCTGTCAAGCTGGGAGTTTTCCCGGGGGGGGGGGGGGGGAAGAAAGCGCTTCAGCTGACAGTGCCTGTGTTTGCATCTGTGTGCATAAAGTCAACCCAATAATAATTCCTGGGAGCAGGAGCGCAGAGGGGGTGAGGCGGCCCCTTAGAAGAACTGTTCTCACTTGAAAATGCACGAATCACCTGCGCATCTTGTTCAAATGCAGACTCTGATTCAGTGGGTCGGGGTGGTCCCTGAGCTTGTGCACTGCTTACAAGCTGGCAGGGGACACGGCGCTGGAACAGCAGAGGGCAGACCCCGCATCCGCTTGGGCTGTGCTTTTAAGCCTTTTTCTGTCCTTCAAGGCTTGCCTCTAATTCCCTGATTAATCCATGCATCAAACATTTACTAGCTCCTGCTGCGAGCCAGGCCCCGCCCGCGGCTCTGGGGAGGAAAGACTAACGGACACGGTGTTTGCTCTCAAATTACTTACAGTCGGGTGGGAGAAACAAACCGCTGTTTCCGGAGCTCTGCTAATGCTGTGTGACTAGTGCCCTGAGAGAGGGCCGGGTGCCCCGCCAGGGGACCCCTCCTAGCGGGCGGGTGATGAATTGTGCTGGGAGGTGAGGCTGAAACTGCATTTTGCAGCAAGAAGAAGAGCCTTGCAGATACAGAAGGTAGAGGCGGGGGGTAGGGGGCGAGGGGTATAGGCCTGCAGGTGTGAAAGTGTTTGCCACTGCCAAGAAAACAGGGGTGCTGATTGCAAATGCCCCCCGGACCCCCCCGGTCTCAGAGATGTTTGTCTGGTGAATGTGTAGTGCTGATCTCGCCGTTCCCACCAGGCTGGGAACTCTTGGAGGTCAAGGTCCACATCTGGCTTATGTCTATACTCCCAGCCCTGGTAAACAGCGCTCGGCAAATACCTAATTCACCTCAAGTGAAGCTGATTGACTCACTTTTGGCAGACGTGCCTGTACTTTGGTGTCCCTCGGAATCTCCTGGATGGCTTGTTAAATCAGATTCGTGGCCCCACCCCAGGGTTTTGGATCCAGGAGGTTCTGGGTACGAGCCTAGAATTTGCATTTCTAACCTGTTCCTCCAGAATCACCAGTAGACATTCGACATCAATGTTTTCTGCTGAGGAATTAATTCCTCCGGGGGGGGTGGGCGGGGAGCGGGGAGGGTGGAGGGTTCAGAGAAGGCAGTGTGGGCTAATGTAGC